CGTACGAAACAGCATGTGGACGACTATTCCCGAGACGGTCTTCGTACTCTTGTTATCGCCAAGCGGGTGAGTAGTTCGGGTAAAACTCTACAGTGATTTGAAATCCGTCACTGGATTTAACTCTAGTAAAACAATTTTCATATATACATTCTGTAGTTCTTGTGGTTGTATAAAATGAATACTATGGAACAAATGCCGCCTGACTTTACATTCATCATGTGTACAATCACCGCGGAGATGGCTCGACAAAACAGAAGGTGTTTAGGTTGTTGTTCGTGGTGGTTGTGAAATTCTATGGTTGGGTTGCGATGGCAGCCACTTCCGTATTTGTATTAAACACGCGTTTTTACGCTGTTACGTTCTGTTCCACGTGGCATGCATATTGAGCTCTACCACTCCATGTCTCTTGTTCTCGCTTGCCTCTGGATTTTCATATCGACTATACCACGCGTCTATTTCAGCTGTGTGGCATGTATGCAAGAGACGCACAGGCGCCCTAACAAACACAGGGTTAGTTTCACAGGGAATCCTGTTTCCCATCTGTTCACCATGACAACGGTAACCAGTTGAAGCTAGACGCATTAGTTTGACCCGAAACGTGTTCGAAATTGGTATTGTTTCCCCCTGTGGAAAGGAGAGGGTGGATGGGTGGTTTGAAGCAGAACAATCAGTCACGAAATCGTAGTAAATTATATGCGTCTCTTGACGTGGAATACCGTCCTCTGTGCTGGTGATAATGGATACAAGCAATACTAATTAAACTGTAATTGTTTGACGTTCAATGTCAATGGAACTCGTGAAATTTGAAAAGGTCGTGTTTCCGCATCATTCATAGCCCATTTTCGTTTGATCTGTTAGTTTGGACGGAACGTAGATCTATGTACTACTCCCTTTTGAAGCACCGAACCACTGATCAGGTAGTATCATTGTTCGTTTTAGTCTTCACAGCTTATAACCATGCAGCACATTTTTACGCGCCGGTTTTGGTTACTGTCTTTTGGCTACTGATTTGGAAAAGAAAAGAACAGAATAAAGATTGGAATATTGGGAACAGAGTCAAATTGAGGATACAGAATACGTATCAGGCTAGAATTGAAAGAGTAATGAGCGCCACAGTTTGCGACACTCAGTGTCTCTCTAACCAACGATAACCATGATCTCGGGGTCCCCATCCAGAGAGCCTAATGGAACCTATGTGACCCAGTCTCTCTTGATTCGGGATTTCATACCCTCATGACAGGTTGGACCTGGTTGGACCTCACTGGATCTTTTTTTCAACTGTTTCTTGCCTCGGCAAACATTTCTCGCCGTGGCAACCTATGGGATGATATGTGTAACACACGTGCCACAACAAAATTTATCTATATGGAGGTCACCCATTCTGCGTTTAACCTCAGCAATGTTGTTCATTTAGTCCGTACCTGATGGACAGATAATGAATGGAACAGGATAAAATAGATTGTTGTTGTTCGAACACCGCTGTCTACGTCACATTTTACGAGCTTAGTGAGGTAACTGGAAAAGTAATGCTGCGGTTTGGCGTAGACTTTTAGATAGTCACGGGCGTCCAGTTGAGCAAATGATCGACTTTCATAGATTACGCTGATTGGAACGTGTGCCACGCATGTCACTAGATAGGTTGCCACGGCGAACGATATTTGCCGAGGCAGGTAATGGGTGAAAAAAAAGCCAAGGATGATCAGACTCAGGAGACAAGGAAATATCAATCCCGTTAGACTCTGTGGCCGGGGACCCCGAGTTCGTGTTCAACGATGATTAGGGACACTGAG